ACGTGGCTAAGTTTTACGGAGACTTCGCCACGGTCTCCAACCCTCCTCATTTCTCTACCGGGCTTTGGACCGGCAAGAGTGGAGTTAAACAGTTCTCTGTTCGTTCTTCTCATTAAAGTTTTGTCTTTATCAGGGATTCACTTTGCGAGGCAGTTTGCTGCAAGTCCTCTGGTCACGCTTCGCAGTTTCGAGTCGTTATTGACAGTATCGAGCCACGTTTCCCTTGTTTTTTTTATTGCCATTTTTGGCATTACATGTCCTTCATAAACAGAAATGCCTTTGATATTCTGCATTACTAATAAAAGCAGGTTTTTATACTGCCGTTCAGCGTAACATATTCGAGTCGCTTCTCTAAATTCGTACGACGTACAAACAGCTTACACCTGATGCTGATTATCACACTGCATCAGCTGCCATGTGGACTTAGGCAAATTTCAGCCTTATGAGGCCCTCGCATCAAATACCGTAGCAGCTCTCGCCACTTTTTTATGATCACACTGGAGCGCAGTACTATCGTGCTGTTCGCAAGTCCACCACATGTTCCCTTTTCTCGGCTTGTTGCTTCGAATCAAAAGCAGGTAAATGCTTTCCTCAACGGAATTCCGTTTAATACACATTGTACCTTCTCCGGATTCAAATTTAGCACTTAGCCCTGCTAGAATTACCGGTTGGGTAAACATGTACTTCAGATCTACTTAATCATTCATTCACGACTGCCATTTTTGGAACTAAGAACCAAACTACAATTCTTTGTGATCATCTTTTAGAACCATGCTTATCCGGCAGATGAACTGATGCCTCTGTCGTGCAAAGGAAGGTATCGCGGAGTAGCGCCGAGTCGCGGTGATGTTGATGATGCACTTGGAAAGTACGGCTTAAGGTGTGTTTACGCAATTTTTATGACTTTCGTTTAGCTTTTCCCTGACTCTCATTGACTCTCTGGATACGCTCATGGTATGACCTACTAATTCTAATTTGAATATTCTGAATTTGTGGTTCCAGAAAGGTTGAGGTTATAAACATACATCTACGGAAGTGAGCGATGCTAAGCTTCGAAAAGTGTCCTTCTGATATGCTTATTCAAGAAGTTTAAATTATAATGAACCTCTCAGATGCTGTTAGCTGTAATTTTTCAGCGCAGATGGGTGTTTTCCGTGTTATACGATTGAAACAGTTTGGATTGGAAGATAACGGGCAACACTGTTAACGAAATATCTGGTAGAGAAGTTTCGCCTGGCGCGCTGTGTATAACCATGAAATTCACTATCACTTGTTAGATGGTGAAGTGCGTACTAGCTTTATTTGAATAGTCAAGTGATATTTTGTACATAAAACATTTGTCGCTAAATTTTCAGGTTTTCAATTTTGTATCAGGTTAAATAGTTAGAAGTAGGAAGACATTTGAATTTAATAGCTGTACAGCATTCACCATCGTTATACAGTATGGCGGCAAAAATTTTCCTGGATAGTTTTTTATAAGTTCTGATGAGAAATCTGATATGCCGAGGGTAAAAAATGTGCCTGCCAGTTCAGAGAATATTTCTCGCCCCTTTATCAGTTGCTCCGATGCTTCCGTTCTTGAAAAGTGATACATGTAAGTGCAGTTACAGAGTTAAATTATCAATAAGCAAAATATTATGAGTGCTGTAAACGCAGAAGTAGTAAAGTAGTTGACCTGGATCAAATCCAGGTGTAACCGTTGAGAAACATCGCAGAATAGACTTAAAAAGTGCCTTTGAACATCATTAGGGACACTTGACAAATAGAGAAGATCCTTAAGAGTCGATTCAAGCGGTAACTATTCTGATACGCAAGAAACTCATTACATGTGATGCTAAATGGGACATGATTTCTTCAGGACCAGATTTGCTATGTACTGCCCATCCCCTTACTCATAGTTCCTACGTAGACCATTTTGGTAGTTCAAGGTTTATGGTATCTGAGTATCTCGATGCTAGATAGACCTTGCATCATTTTATTTACAGGAACAGCCCGTTGATAATCTCGAGTGATATTTCATGAGCTGATTCATCCAGAACCAGAATTCATGAC